CATTTGTCTGCGGAGGTGGCGGTGAAGCCCATTGAGTTGAGTGCCTTAGATAGGCACTCGTACCACCTCTTGCCAGATTGTTTTAGTCCATACAGACTCTTATTAAGGAGCCATGTGTCGTCTTTTCCTTTGTTGTATCCTGGTGGAGCTTTTACATAAATTTCTTTGTCCAGTTTTGCATGAAGGTAGGCAGTTTGGATGTCAAATTGAAATACTTCCAACCCTAGGATGGTGGATATTACGAGGGCGCTCTTGACACTTTCAGCTCTGACAGTTGGGGAATAGGTATCTGTATAGTCTTCTGGGTACTTCTGAGCAAAACCCTGTGCCACTAGCCTTGCTTTGTACAATACGTTGTTGTTTTCTAGGGTCTTGATTCTGTACACCCATTTTGTCCCTATGGGTTTTTTATTTTCAGGTGTTTGTGTTGGTGAATATACTTGCAGGTCTCAGAGACTCTTCATTTCCTTTTCCATTGCTTCTTTCCATTTTTCTCTCTCCTCTAGGGGAAGTTTGAATATATCTTCATATGAGCTGGGTGTTATGTTGTTGGTTTGTATGGACATGATGTAATCCTCGAGTCTTTTTGGTTTTTTGTTTCTACTCTCTCTGATTGGTTTGTCATTTTGTTTGTTTGTTTCGTGTAGGTATTCAGTCTCTTCATCAGTGAGTTTATCTATGTTCAAAGTGGGGTGTTCTTCCTTCCATTCTTTGACTTTTATTTCACGGTGTTTTGGTTTGTATGTTTCTGTATCCTCTTTCCTTTCAGTGATCAGCCGCTTATTCTCTTGTTTCTGTGTATGTGTATTTCTATTGGCAAAAATGTCATTGGAGTATAACCTTGACCAATTTGAGTGTTCATGGAAGTCAGCTGATCTTGATACAACAAATTTGTTGTTCTGATCTAAGAATCTGAAACCTTTTGTTCCTGGTTCGTACCCCATAAATCTCATTCTTTTGGATATTTTATCTCCCTTCCTTCTTAATTGTCTGGGTATATGAACATCAGCGGGAACGCCAAATACGTGTAGGTGGGCCAGGTTGGGTTTTCTTTTGTACATCATTTCATAAGGGGTTTTGCCAATTGAACTAGACCATAATCTATTTAATGTGTAATTTGAGTAATGTAATGCTTCCGACCAAAATGATTTTCCCATCCCAGCATCCTCTAGAACACATCTTATCATGGTTTGGAGTACGCCTTGTTTTCGTTCTGCTACTCCATTTTGAAAAGCTGAGAAAGGTGATGAAGTAAAATGTAATATGCCTCGTTCTCTTACCCAACTCGTGAATTCTTTCGCCATGAATTCTGAACCTCGATCAGTCATTAATTGTTTGATTTTTGTATTGTTGTAATTCGATTCTTTTGTAAAATTCCTTAAACTTTTGGAATGCTTCATTCTTGTGTCTGAGTGAATATACATAACCATATCGACTGTAGTCATCTACAATGGTTAGGAAGAATCTTTCTCTATACCTAATGGATGGTCTCAGGGGTCCTACCAGGTCCATGTGTACCAGTTGGAATATAGAATCAGTGGTTCGCTCTGATTTCTTTGGTCTTGCTTTGACCTTAATTTTAGAACATTTGCAAACAGAACACTCCAAGTAATTTTCAGAGTTTTTTACTTTTAGACCCTCGGCGCATTCCAACATTTTTTTGACAATTGGGAAACTAATATGCCCTAATTTTCTATGGAGAAGGTGAGCACAATTGTCATGCAAGGGTTTGCCTACAGACATTTTACTTTTACTTGGTGAATTATACTTGTCCGGTCCTTCTGTTTCTTTGTTTCCTTCTGCCTTATTAGCAGAGTTTATGTTAATGCTTCCCTCTCTGTTTTCTATGGGTGTAAAGTAAGGTAGTCCATCGTGTATGATTACTTCCCCAATGTTTGTCCCCTGATTTGATACATATACTTTGCCTTTCTTAAACATCACTTCGATGTTTGTGTCTTGTGTGAGTTTTACTGTTGCTAGCACGTTGTATGGAATATCTGGTACATGCAAAACCCCCTCTATTTCTCCTATTCCTGAGATATGCACACTTCCTTTACCTATTACTTTAGCCTTACTCTGGTTGGCTACTTTGATCTCAAAATTTGTTTTCATGAGTGAGGTGAATAATCTTGGGTCATGTGAAGTATAGTTAGTGGCTCCCGAGTCTAGGAGCCACATGTTCTTGTATGTTTCTAGTTTGGTGTTTGAGTTCTCGTGTTTAAAACCATACATTGATTCAGAGTATCTATCTCGTGAGCTGTTTCTATGCTCGTAATTTCTCCTAGTGCTGGGAGACCAACCACGCTCTCTCTCTCTAAAAGTTCTGTTATCTGGTGAGCTTCCCCTTATGTGCCTTCTTCCGTGCTCAGGTCTCTCCCTACGATCAGTGTATCCTTTGTTTTTGTAGTTCCTGGGACAATCTCTTTTTAAATGGTTTCTAGAACCGCAAGAAAAACATTCCTGTGAATTGCTTACTCTATCTTGGAATTCAACTCTCCTTATAGGTTTGGGTTCCCTTCTAGATATATGGCGGTCCCTTCTCAGGTTGTCTTCTGCAATTAATCGATTTGTGAGTGTGCTCAGGGATATCTGTTCTAAGTTTATGCTATCTAATCATGTTACAAAGTTGTCCCAGCTAGAGTCCAATGAATTAATAATGATACTCATCATGCTTTCTTGAGTTATTATTTCCCCCCTTTGTAATAGTTCTGCTCTAGTGGCATTAAGTTTCAATAGGTGTTCGCTCATGGGGACCCCTGGCCTGAGTTTTGCAGAGTGAAATTCCCTGGATATTCTAGTGGTGGTTGCTCTGCTTTGACTGTAGAATAAACTATATAATTTCTGCATAACTTCATACACAGTTAGGCTGTTATCTATGCTAGGGTACATAGTGGGTGGTATACTTGTTAACAATAGACAAAATGCTTTGTGGTGGATACAATCAATTTCAAATGACCAGGGTTTTTTTGGAGGTTTAGAAATTAAGAAAAGTACATTTTCTCTCATAAAAATAATTTGTAACTGTTGACTCCATTCTAAAAGGTTTCTTCCATCTAATTGTAATTTTGGAAAATTAATAGGCAGTGTTCCAGAATTATTAGAATAATTACTTACTGGGGATAGCTGTCCATGGTCTGGGATGTGACTGAATTCACAGTAGGGCAATGGTATGCTTGGGCTAATGGAAAAAAAACTGTCAGTAAAAAAAATTTTTTCTATCATTGCAGGTAAGTACTGCGCATGCGCGAAGCCCATTTCGCGCTGGGAGCTGTCGGGTGAGGAGCTCGCGGCTGCTGCTCCTAGGCCTAGGCCCAGGCCTGCCAATGGAATGCTGGGATCACCTCCTGCACACCTGGATTATACGCTGGATGCATGGATCTGTCACTGGGTGGCTGGATCCCCGGCGATGACAGGCAGAAGACGCGGCGGCAAGGCGGTCGTAAGACGAGGATCATCGGGGTTCGAAGGCTCTGCGGCGGCGACGGCAGCGGCGGCGAGTCTCGGCCCATGGAGGATGGTTCCTGGATGATCAGAAAAACCTGGTGGAGGTCGTAGGATAGGTGAGTTGTTGGTATGATTTTCTTTTCTTGGGTCCCGTTCCGGCAGTAGTATGGGTGGTGAGTTCGAATCTTGCCATGTAATTGATTTGTAGGCGGTTGGTGTTTTTTGTTTGTCGTGGTAGTTTATTTCTTCTCTGGGTGGTATTAGGGTTGGTATTTTATTGCTTGTAGTCATGTTGGTTTGTATTTGATTTTCGGGTTTTTCTTTGTTTGTTTTAAAGTTTTGGTTAATTTGCTGAGTTAAATTTGAATATTGGCTTTCTATTGGTTGTTGGCCATTCCAAGATGGCCGTCGGAGCGGGAGCGCGGGAACAGATTCGGCTATTTCTGGGTTGTCCGACTGAGGTGGCTTATCTTTTTCTGAGGTGGTGATTTCTCTAATCATCGCTGATGCTTTGGTAGTTGTTTCACGGTTTATTAAGAGGTTTTGGAGTTTAGCGATAAGATTTTCTTCGCTGTCCGGCATCTCCATTAACCTCATTATGGATAGTCTTAGCTCATCACCTCTTTGTGATTTTTCTTCTTGTTGGTCCTCGTTCCTGAGCAGCGAGGTTTGATTGTTGTCTTGCTCACCCTCATTTAAAGTAGTTCTTGTAGTGGCATCTTTGGTTGTCAGCTGTGCAGCCATTTTCTTGGTGAAGGCTCTTGTGTTTACTCTGTTTATATTTTCAGAGTAAGCATTTGTTTCAGTCATTTTACAGAGTTATGGGCAACCATCCTCTAGCTACCATTTTGTTAAAGTCGATGGTTCTAGCCCAATAACTCACTAATCAAAATGTATTTTATTTTCAAGCTTTTATTTTAGACCTGGATAGATCCTAGGCCTCTTTAATCATTAGACCTTTAACGTTATGTTTCTCTCTTTTAGATACACAACTGGAACAGCTCAGATTTACCTCAGAGAGACCTTTTTATACCCGAGGGGAGGAGTCAGGAATCAGGTAGGATTATGGAAATGAGGGGGCGTGTATTATTGTTAACCCTTGCAGAAATGTAAGAAGGTAGAGATACAGACAAGATATAAACAAGTTAGACATTTTACATAACACAGTTGCTTCTCCGCTTCCAGCCCAAGTTGCTCCCGGACTCTCCTCCCACCTGCTGCCCTCAACTCACCTGCCAGCTGCTGCTTCCACCATGGAAACAGCACAAAAGCCGCTCTGCACACCAACTTCCTCCCATCAGCCATCCGGAAGAGGAAGTTCCTCTGCGCGTCTCCTCTCCTCCCAGCCTTTCTAGCAATGCAGTACTTGATGATTTTAACTCCTTAAACACAACCACAGACGCCGCCTGCTGTACCGTCCGCTTTCTAGCCACTGGTGTTGCCTGTTTGAGCGCCATCTCCAGACAGGCAGAAAAACGCGCTTGTCCCCTCTCTTATCTAAGGCGGTTGCAAGATGTTTTCACTGATTAAATGCTACCGTCATTTATGCTGAGCCCTGAAAGTTCATGACATTTTATTTATTTATTTATTTTATTTGTCAATCATATATAAGAAAACATATAAAAGCATAAACGTAATTGGAATACATGAAAAGAATAAGAGTAAAAAGGGACATGAGGACAGGGACAGTAGGCAGGATGATGCGCTTATGCCTTACAGACCTCTTAGGAATGGGGTGAGGTCAACAGTAAACAGTCTAAGGTTAAAGTTTTGGGGGTTTGGGGAGGAAACCACAGAGTCAGGTAGTGCATTCCAGGCATTGACCACTCTGTTGCTGAAGTCGTATTTTCTGCAATTGAGTTTGGAGTGGTTTACCTTGAGTTTGTATCTCTTATTGGCTCAGGTATTGTTGTGGTTGAAGCAGAAATAATCATTGACAGAATCTTTTTTTTTTTTTTTGGACAGAATTTGCTATCTTAGGGGGTGACTCCCGATAGAAATCAATGCCTCTCTACATCCCAAAAGTTTAAAACTGATTTTCTGTGGCTCCCAAGATTTTAGGACCTGGCAGCCCCATCAAGTCAAGATACTCCAAGGGAGTGCTATTTTTAAGGTTTATAAACTGTAGTGGAACATGGAGGATGACTATGTACAGCATTTTATGATTCAGTGGGCAAAGAACTTTGGATGTAAATAATGCTTGAACATTATTCACCTAACATCAAAAATATCATCAAAAAAGCACAAGAAAGAATGTTCTTTTGGTGCCAACTCAGGGAGCTCAAACAGCCCAAGGAACTGCTGATACAGTTCTAAAAAGGAATTATTGAGTGTGTCATCTGCACCTCTATAACTGTCTGATTTGGTTCTGCAACCCAACAAGACAGACACAGACTTCACAGGATAATTAGAACTGCAGAATATGCACTTACTACCAACCTGCCTTCCATTGAGGACCTGTATACTGCATGAGTCAAAAAGAGGGCTGTGAAAATATTTAGACCCCTAAACTGTTTCAACTCCTACCCTCAAAATGAGGCTATAGAGCACTGCACACCAGAACAACTAGAAAACAAGAACAGTTTTTTATTGAATGCCATCACTCTGCCATGTATTTAATTCCCTCAACACTGTCAAACTATTTACTAAGTCTGAATTACTATTACTATTAATCTTCCCATTGTTCCTATCACCCATCTCCTCCCACTTATGACTTTATGAACAGGGTGGATAAAAATCAATGATTTTTTAAAAAAAAATCAAAAAAATCTGATTTTTTTGATTTAAATCGGATTTTTTTATTTAAATCAGATTTTTTTATTTTTATTGAATTTATTTTAATAAAAAACTTTTGGGGTAAAAATCTATCATAAGATAGTTTTCTATTTAAGATACATAAATAATTTTTTTTATTCAGCATGAAATGTAGCTTAGTTATGTAGCACAAGGCTGTATATTCTGCAACACTGGGACTATCAGTGAGTCAACAGCAGGTCAAACGAGTAGCAGAGATGATAGTTGCTCTTTAAAAATTATGATTTAAATCAAATTGATTTAAATCAAATCCGTGTGACTGTTACTTTGTTGCTTGCATCCCTATGATTTATATTGTTTCCTACTATGATTTGATTACTTATTTGTACTCTATGACTATCATGAAGTGTTGTACCTTATGATTCTTGACAAATGTATCTTGTCTTTTATGTACACCGAGAGCATATCCACCAAAGACAAATTCCTTGTGTCCAATCACACTTGGCCAATAAAGAATTCATTTCCATTCAATCCTATCGTATCCTATTCTCAGTCATGGAAAGTCCCCAGGGATTATCCAGACCGACCATTGAGTTGCATCTTGGTTTCTCCACATGCCAGTCCTGATCTGCTCCTGGTCACCGAGTATCCTTCAAAGGGATCAGAAGCAATGTGACCTACTAAAAAACATTGTAACCTGTCTTTTTGAATCTTGTGGGTGAAATGAACGATCTTGGAATTCTTTGGTGTCTTCCAATCCCAGCAAAATCAGGATAATCCATCTGCATAGCTAAAATATCACTTTCGCTGCTACAAATAATGTTCCTCTTTAATTGAAGGAATTTTTAAAACAAATTAAGGAGTCCTGGGAGAGAAATGAAAATACAGGAAAGGTCTCCCATGTGTTGGGAAGAGAGCGTTGCATTACATTGTCCCAATGTTTACAGAAATGCTGACACTTTCCTTTCCCCACCTCAAAATCTATTCATAAGTCTTATGCAATGCTGTTTTAGAAATGAAGCATCTACTGTACAATTTTTTTCCTCACATTTCCCTACCAAGGGGGGAACCACAAAAGTAAAAATCCCTTGGTTCTGCTCACACCTCCCAGCCATCAAAGACTAACAAAGGAGGAACGTCCAAGGGAAGGAGATCACAACAGGAGTTGCGAATGAACCTGGAGATCCTGTACTCAAAAACACAATCCCTTTCCTCAACTCAATATTCCTACAGCTCTTCTCCATGAAGGTCACATGCAAGGCAGAGTAGCCTTTGCATCTGAAATTTTACACTGCTTTTGTCACTGCCCCAAATTCCCCCAATATATTTGCTAGTCATCTGGTTTCTTCCACTTGCGTGCCTCATTCACAATCTGAGCAGACATGCTTGGTGCAATGAATTGTTAGGAAAAGATAAACTATTTCTCTTTCCTCTTGTTTTCTTCTTCCATGAGGACTCACAACCTCTAACTACAGCCTGAGTGCTCTTATCCCGAAGAGATGCTGCCTGGGAAATTCTGGGGTGGAAAATCTCGAGGATACCCAGGGAGAAAAAGGCTGGTTCTCTGCATGTGGCATTTCTATCATTGATTATGATAAAAATGCAGAGAACACTCCTAAAATGATTTTTGCAGAATTGCACAATTTCTGCAGAAATAAATACCCAGCAACTTCTGCTGCTGATGGCCAGCCAGACAGCCATTATCAAACTAACATGTTCCAATTTTTTCTTTCCTCCTTCCCATCTAAGACTATGACATACTTGATGAGAAAAACAATCAAGCAAATTCTTTCTGGTCAAATTGAAGAGTCAATTTCTCATCTTAAAACTTAAAATTCAAGCCTTTACACTTTACTTTAGGTCATCACTCATCACTTTGGAAAATCCATCTGCATTTTCTTGTGTGCAATGAGGGTGGAATGTTTCCTGAAGCACCGTCCACTCTTGCGGCACTTAAATGGTTTCTCCCGTATGTATAAGCACATGATTCAAAAGGCTAGTCTTCGTACTGAAATCTTTCCCACAGTCTGGGCACTCGTATGGTTTCTCTCCTGTGTGAGTCCTCTGGTGTCTCACCAGCTTATAATTCTGACTGAACCTTTTCCCACAATCAGGACATTCAAATTGTTTCTCTCCTGTGTGAGTCTTCCGGTGTGTCACCAGATGGGAATTGTTACTGAATCTTTTCCCACAATCAGGACATTCATATGGTTTCTCTCCTGTGTGAGTCCTCTGGTGTGTCACCAGGCTGGAATTGTGACTGAAACTTTTCCCACAATCAGGACATTCAAATGGTTTCTCTCCTGTGTGAGTCCCCTGGTGTGTCACAAGGCTGAAATTGTTATGGAAACTTTTCCCACAATCAGGACATTCAAAGGGTTTCTCTCCCGTATGAGTCCTCTGGTGTGTCACCAGCTTATAATTCTGACTGAAACTTTTCCCACAATCAGGACATTGAAAGGATTTCTCTTCTGTATGAGTCCTCTGGTGTGTCACCAGGCTCGAATTCTGACTGAAACGTTTCCCACAATCAGGACATTGAAAGGATTTCTCTCCTGTGTGAGTCTTCTGGTGTGTCACCAGATTGGAATTTGTACTGAACCTTTTCCCACAATCAGAACATTCAAATGGTTTCTCTCCTGTGTATGTCCTCTGGTGTGTCACCAGGCTGGAATTTTGACTGAAACTTTTCCTACAATCAGGACATTCAAATGGTTTCTCACCTGTGTGAGTTCTCTGATGTGACAGCAGGCTGGAATTGTGACTGTAACATTTCCTACAATCAGGAAATTCAAATGGTTTCTCACCTGTGTGAGTTCTCTGGTGTGCCAGCAGGCTGGAATTGCGACTGAAACCTTTCCCACGGATAGGGCATTGAAAGGGTTTCTCTCCTGTGTGAGTCCTTTGTTGTCTCATGAGGTGGTGATTTCCAATGAAACTTTTACACAATTTGGACACTCTTATGTGATGGGCGTCCTGTGATGTATCACTATGTTGCCATGCTCACTAAAGTATTCACATTGGGAGCACTCGTATGGCTTCTCTCCTGTGTGGGTCGTTACATGTACCACAAGGAAGCTGCTCTGACCAAACCTTTTGCCATATTCAGATAATTTGTATGGCTTTTCTACAGTTGGGATCTTCTTGTTTAATCAGCTATGATTTGCAATCTGTGTTTTTTCTTCAATAGGCAGATCTATGGAGCTTTTCCACAACTGATATTCTTGAGGTCAAAAATATGTGTGATCTATTGTTTAGATCTACTATTGTTTAGTAGTGTTTTGATTACAGCTGCTTGCTTCTTCCCAGAGCAAGGCCTGTATCATTGTCTGTCCTATGTGCCCTGCCCAATAAGACCTTTTCCTTCCCCCTAACTTCCAGATATTTCCATCTTTTTCTGAGTGAAAAATAACCTTCCTTGATCTTTCATGCAATGTGTCCTTGAGTTTCGTATCCTCTACTTTTTCCAGCTCAAAATCTCATGTTAATTTTCTCTCTGTTCTCTATTAGCTGCTGGAGAAGGAGAATTGTGTGGTTTTCTGAAGGAACTGGAATATATTTTGATTTCTGGCTCAATTTTATTTCCTTTTCAACGTTGCTTGTTATTCTCAGTTGTCCAGAGTGCTCTTTTTGCCATCCTCTTTGTCTATAAGTTTCAAAGAAAAGTGTAACTTTGATTGTGTATAAAATGGTTACATAAGATGTGAAAAAAAATACAACAAATAAGCAAACATGCCACAATGCCAGAATAATCTCTTACATTAATTATGATACATTTGACACATGGAAGAGTACCAAGATATCTATTCAACCATGAAATTATGTTGTTGACTTGGGTCTATCATAAATTCTTGGCACTGCAAAGGGTTATCCTCAAATATATCTGGATGTACTGAGGATAGATTGTATAATTGCAGATATATGCATACAGAAAGAAATACAGATACAAACACCTACAAATGATATATGTGGAAGCTCCATGAGTTTTCAGCCTGACAGAATGTCCCAAAATGGTTAATCTCAAACCTTCTGAGTTAAATTTAGAGATGTGGGGGCTTTAACTGAGGAAATGATGCCAAAAGCCTCTGCAAGATTTGAAGCACCAGTTTTGCTCATGAAAGTCCTCAGCTGCAGATAAGAGAAGAAAATGCTGTCTACAACCCCTTCTGGTGGCATCCCAATTCAAGCAATCCTGACTTACTGAGTGCAGTTGGGACTGGCTTCTGTGTCACTAAGCAGCCGGTCAGGAAGCATGATGTCACATGACAGTGCCAACTTGCAAATTTTTACTAGCAGAGAGAAAATAATAAGGGAGATGGGGTTGAAGTTGCAGATAAATAGGGGGAAGAGTGACCATGTGCATACTGGAATTCATTATAATGCAGACACAAGCAATAGAGTAAAATCTTAGACTTTAAAGCAGCTGATTTAACAAACCAAGAGACAGCTTGGGAAGGATTCCATGGATGAAAATCTTATACAAGAGCCTTGGTGGCGCAGCAGACTAAAGTGCTGTTAACTAGCACCAGCTGCCTGCAATTACTGCAAATTAAAATCTCACCAGGCTCAAGGTTGACTCAGCCTTCCATCCTTTCGAGGTAGGTAAAATAAGGACCTGGATTGTGGGGGCAATAAGCTAACTTTGTATAAAAAAGAACACCGCTTGGGGGGGGGGTGCGAAAGCCCTACTAAGCAGGTATATACAAAAGTATGAAGGCTATTGCTTAACGCATTGTAAGTCGCCCTGAGTCTCCGGAGAAGGGCAGCATATAAATCGAACCAACCAATCAATCAATCAATCAATCAATCAATCAATGGGAAAACAACTCAAGAAGCCTGAGAAACTCTGGCTGCCTAAACAGAGGGATAGAATCGAGATCACATGAAGTATTAGTACCAATTTATAATGCTGTGATTAAGATCACACTTGGATTACTGCAACCAGTTTTCATCACAATATAAAACAGGCGTGGAGACTCTGTAAAGAGCGCAGAGAAGAGCAGTAGGGATAATTAGTGGGTTGCTGTAACTGGGAATGAATCGTCTAGTGAAAGGAAGGACTAGGGGTGACATGATAGCAGTGTTCCAATACTTGGAGGGTCAACTTCTTTTCCAAAGCACCAGAAGGACAAGACAAGAAGCAATGCATGGAAACTAATCAAGGAGAGGAAAAAACCTGGAATTAAGGAAAAATCCCATCAGTGAGAACAATTAGTCAGTGGAAGGGAATGGCTGCAATTTTCTGCTGCCTGGAAGACTGAAAAAGTCTCTTTTGAGTGAAGGTTGATTCTTCGGGAATGGCTTCCCTCCAGAGGTTGTGGGGGCTCCATTGCTGGTGGCTTTTAAACCGACGGGACAGCCATTTGTCTGAGACGTCATTAAGACCTCCAAGGTTTCTTCCAGCTCTCTTCCAAACCTCCAGTGACGGAGCTCCCTCTGGAGGGAAACCAGCCCCAAAGGCTCAACCTGCATTGGAAGGAGGCTTTTTCAAGCTTCCCACCAGCAGAAATTGCAGCCCCCAGTTTCCCAGCCTGCAGCACCAGTGGGCTTCCATTTGGGGAGGGAAGGAACCTGCAGCAGCCGCAGCTGAGAGGCTTCAGCCCAGTTGCTTCTCCGCTTCCAGCCCAAGTTGCTCCCGGACTCTCCTCCCACCTGCTGCCCTCCACTCACCTGCCAGCTGCTGCTTCCGCCATGGAAACAGCACAAAAGCCGCTCTGCACACCAACTTCCTCCCATCAGCCATCCGGAAGAGGAAGTTCCTCTGCGCGTCTCCTCTCCTCCCAGCCTTTCTAGCAATGCAGTACGTGATGATTTTAACTCCTTAAACACAACCACAGGCGCCGCCTGCTGTACCGTCCGCTTTCTAGCCACCGGTGTTGCCTGTTTGAGCGCCATCTCCAGACAGGCAGAAAAACGCGCTTGTCCCCCCTCTTATCTAAGGCGGTTGCAAGAGGTTTTCACTGATTAAATGCTACCGTCATTTTTGACTTCTGGCAACTGACCCAAACGAAAGAGTGAAATGTGATACCACTAAGCTTACGAAGATTAGCTACGTGCTGAGCCCTGAAAGTTCATGACATTTTATTTTTTTATTTATTTTATTTGTCAATCATATATAAGAAAACATATAAAAGGATAAACATAATTGGAATACATGAAAAGAATAAGAGTAAAAAGGGACATTAGGACAGGGACGATGGTGCGCTTATGCCTTACTGACCTCTTAGGAATGGGGTGAGGTCAACAGTAGACAGTCTCAGGTTAAAGTTTTGGGGGTTTGGGGAAGAAAGCAGAGTCAGGTAGTGCACTCCAGGCATTGAGCACTCTGTTGCTGAAGTCGTATTTTCCGCAATTGAGTTTGGAGTGGTTTACCTTGAGTTTGTATCTCTTATTGGCTCAGTTATTGTTGTGGTTGAAGCTGAAATAATCATTGACAGAATATATATATATATTTTTGGCAGAATTTGCTATCTTAGGGGGTGACTCTCGGTAGAGATCAACACCTCTCTACATCCCAAAAGTTTAAAACTGATTTTCTGTGGCTCGCAAGATTTTAGGACCTGACAGCCCCATCAAGTCAAGATACTCCAAGGGAGTGCTATTTTTAAGGTTTATAAACTGTAGTGGAACATGGAGGATGACTATGCACAGCATTTTATGATTCAGTGGCAAAGAACTTTGGATGTAAATCATGCTTGAACAATGGAAAAGCTAAAGGAGGTGAGGTGATAGAGGGGGATTGATGAATAGCCAGCTGGTCTCCCCCTTGGATTCACTCCCCCCCCCCCCGGGTGAAACGGCCTTTCCCTGTTACTGCCCAGACTCTCTGTTTGTGGTCGGGTCATTTTTTCCATCACCTCTGACTCTGGGACTTTACTACCACCCTCTTTGAACTTAATGTCGTTTGATCTCCAATCTCCTCCTTGCTGCTGTTTATTTCAGCCCTGCCTCCCGAGTACTGCCTTCTGGCCTTGGCTCGGGGGAAGGGAGATTGCAGGTTTGGAAGGAGAAACTGAGAGTCCTGGACAATGGCTGCTGCTCCATCTGCAGGAAAAGAGTTGAACTCTGCTGGCCTTATGTCATCCAGCCGCTGTGAGAGAACGGCTGTGGCCATTTGCTTGCACTGCAGCTATCTGACCTGGACGCCCCATCACTGTGAAAGAGTGAGAGGCTCCGGTTTTGTCCAGATCCAACCGTATTGCTATCTCGCACCTCTAGGACCATCGCTGATACCCAGAGTTACTCTCCCTTATCTCGTCATACTTATATGGCTTACACCTCAGTGGATCTGCTCGCGCTGCGAGATGCCCCCCTCTCGCGGCGATGGCCTTCCACTTTATCAAAGGCCTACCTTAAGGACGGGCTTTGGAGCCCCGAGAGGTGGCATGTTTTAAAGCGGGGATTGAGGGTTTTTTTAATTAGGGCTTTTAATAATTTTTTAAGGGGAACTGGGAGGGCGACCAAGGGGGATGGGGGGGTAATCCACCAAGGTCGGGGCCGAGTCCGGCATGGAGTAATGATTTGGAGGGTGCAGGACGAGGGATTGGGGAGGGGAAGGCGGGCTATTTTAATGAGGGATTAAAATCAGCACAGTGGATGGGAGGGGCAGATATGGCAGGAGCAGGGGACCATATCATGTGTCAGGGGTGCGCACTCGCTACTTGAGAGCAATTGCACGCCCCGGTCCCCAAGGCTCCTCTCGGATACTAGGTGGCACAGTTACTCAGGACCTGGGCCTCCGGCTGATGCTGTGCAACGCCAGGTCCATGGTAAATAAGGCCCCCTTCATTTACGATCTTATTCAAGAGGGGGGAGCGGACCTGGCAGGTATTACGGAGACCTGGTTGGGCCTGGAGGGAGGGGTCCCTCTGGTTGAGATGTGCCCACCAGGCTTCAGAACATTCCATCAGCCAAGGGCCCAGGGGAGGGGCGTGGGTTGACGGTTATTATTAAAGAAGGGCTTGGTCCGAGGGCGATCACTGTGTCACAGATTGCCGGATGTGAGTCCCTCTTTGTGAGATGGGGTCATGGGGTTCAGACGGGCTTGCTGCTTACATACCTGGCTCCCTGCTGCGTGGCAACGGCCCTGCCCGAGCTACTCGATGTGATAGCCACGGTGGCAGTTGATACACCCAGGCTTATGGTCATGGGTGATTTCAACTTGCCGTCCGTTGGTGAAACGTCGGAGATGGCTCGGGAGTTCATGGCTTCCATGACAGCCATGGACCTGACCCAGTTAGTTCATGGCCCCACTCATGGGGGGGACACACTCTGGACTTGATTTTTGTCTCTGGCCAGTGGTTGAGTGGTCTTATTATAGGGGATATAGACATGAAACCCTTGTCATGGTCAGATCACTCACTCGTTCGTCTGGACCTTCGAACCGCTACAACCCGCCACAGGGAGGTGGAGCCAATTAGGTGGGTCCGCCCCAGGCGCCTGATGGATCCTGATAGGTTCCAGATGGAGCTTGGGCCATTTCCTGAAGATCTGGCACACAACTCGGCCGAGGACCTGGTGGCTGCCTGGGATCGGGCGGCTGGTGGGGCTTTGGATCGAGTCGTGCTTTTGTGGCCTCTTACCTGGTGTCGATCCCTCGTGGCTCCTTGGTTTACCGAGGAGCTGAGGGAGATGAAATGCCGGAAAAGACGCCTAGAGAGCGGTTGGAGGGGCAGTCTCGCTGAATCTGACCGAACACTGGTAAGGTCGCATATTAAGACCTACTTAGTGGTGATAAAAGCGGCAAAGTTTAATTACTTTTCTGCTCTTATTGCATCATCAGAGAATCGTCTGGCCACCCTGTTCAGGGTGACCCGCTCCCTGTTCCACCCGGAAGTGCGGGAGGACCCCCTGGAAGGCAGGGCCGAGGATTTTGGACAATATCTGTGTGACAAAATCGCTCAGATCCGGGGGGATTTGGACTCTGACTGGGTAGATTCGGGCAGGGTGGCGAGGAATAGTCTTGAGAACGTTATCTGGGAATTATTAATGCTGCGTTGAGTGAGGGTTACTTCCCCACAGCCTTGAAAGAGGCAGTGGTGAGGCCTCTCCTCAAGAAGCCTTCCCTGGACCCAGCAGTATTAGCCAACTATCGTCCTGTCTCCAACCTTTGCTTTGTGGCAAAGGTTGTCGAGAGTGTGGTTGCACAACAGTTTCCACAGTACCTGCAGGAAACATCTTATCTAGATCCATTCCAGTCAGGTTTCAGGCCCGGGCACAGCACAGAAACGGCATTGGTCGCATTAATAGATGATCTCTGGAGGGCTCAGGACAGGGGTTGTTCCTCTGTTCCGGCCCTGTTAGACCTCTCAGCGGCTTTTGATACCATCGACCATGGTATCATGCTTCACCGGTTGGAAGAGTTGGGGATGGGGGGCACCGTGTTACGGTGGTTCTCCTCCTTTCTCTCAGACCGGTCGCAGTTCGTGTTGGCAGGGGGGCAGAGGTCGACCTCGAGACCTCTTATATGTGGAGTGCCTCAGGGGTCGGTCCTCTCGCCCCTTCTGTTCAACATTTATGTGAAGCCGCTGGGCGAGATCATCCGTGGCTTTGGGTGAAGTACCATCAGTACGCTGATGACACCCAGCTGTACATCTCCTCCCCAGGCCACCCCAACGATGCCCTTGAAGTGATGTCCCAGTGCCTGGAGGCTGTGCGGATCTGGATGGGGAGACACAGGCTCAAGCTCAACCCTTCCAAGACTGAGTGGTGTGGTTCCCGGCATCCCGATATAGTCAGTTGACTCCATCACTGACTATTGGGGGCGAGTCTTTGGCCCCCTCGGAGAGGGCTCACAATCTGGGAGTCCTCCTGGATACACAGCTGTCCTTGGAGGAACATCTGATGGCTGTTGCCAGGGGGACTTTTGATCAGGTTTGCCTGATCCGCCAGTTGCGGCCCTTTCTTGATTGGGATTCCCTCTGCACAGTCACTCATGCCCTCGTCATCTCTCGCCTGGACTACTGCAATGCTCTCTACATGGGGCTCCCCTTGAAGAGCACCCGGAGGCTCCAACTAGTCCAGAATGCAGCTGCGCGGGGAGTCACGGGAGCCACATGGCGCTCCCATACAACACTTCTCCTGCGTGAGCTGCACTGGCTCCCAGTGGTCTTCTGGGTGCGCTTCAAGGTGTTGGTTATCACCTTTAAAGCGCTCCATGGCATAGGACCTAGTTATCTTCGAGACTGCCTGCTGCTGACGGCCTCCCATGGACCTGTGCGCTCCCACAGAGAGGGCCTCCTCGGGGTGCCATCAGCCAAACAATGTAGGCTGGTGACCCCCAGGGGGAGGGCCTTCTCTGTGGGAGCGCACGGGTCGATGGGAGGTCGTCGGTAGCAGCAGGCGGTCTCGCAGATAGCTAGGCCCTATGCCATGGCCCTATGACATGGAGATGAAAAACAATCATCTCAGAAAAGACAGTGTCAGATCAGTCTGAGATTGTTGCCAAGAAAACAGCAAGTACAAAACAGAACAACAGAGCTGGAAGGAATCTTTGAGATCTTCTAGTCCAATCCCTTACTTGAGCAGCAGGCCCTGAAGAACCTGACACCCAAACGAAAAAAATTGTACAATTTTTACAAAAATAAACATCCAGCAACTTCTGCCGCTGATGGCCAAACAGTCCCAATCAAATTAACATGTTCCACTTTTTTTCTTTGATCCTTCCCATCTAAGACCATGACCTATTTGATGAGAAAAAATCAGGCAAATTCTTTGTAGTCAAATTAAAGAGTCAATTTCTCAGCTGAAATTACAATGGGACATTTGAAATGAAATTCAAGCCTTCTT